GTTACTGCGTAACATGCAGATATGCCCAAATCCTCTGCTGCAAATACTATGGCAGAGAATCATAAAGTGTTAGAACTGCAAGAAGCCTGAAAAACCACCAAATCTTAGACCTTTACTTTTACGCAGGATGAAACTAAAGCACAAGTAAATTAAGTGACTTGCCTAATGTAATTAGTCATCCTCTGTAAATATTTGTTGTACTGTTGAATGAAGATGATTATTTTTGAAGAACTTAACTTCTGAATGTCTTTAACAAAAAACAGAATAATCTGTACAAATTCTTTTCTTCTTTAGTACAAATATTTGAGATCCAAAATATCTTTGATTTTGGTAAGAGAGTAGAATGAGTTTGGTACCTAAATTATAATTACACTACTAATATCCTGGCAGTTGACCTTTCCTCTATTGTCTGTTATCACCAAAATGAGAAAATTCCCCTCCGAGTCATGGAGTCTCCCATGAACATGGTCAGGTAGAACCAGAACACACACTTGCTCCTGTCTGAAGACACCAGTTCAGTGGAGAAGCTGTTTATCTAAACTGTGAAACCTCAGCCATTGTTCACAATGTGGCACAGAACTAATCCCTTAAGAAAGGAACGAAAAAAATGCCATTCAGCACAACATAGTTTGTCATCGCATGCATAATGCAGACTTTCCAATTAGAATGCTACAATTTAGAAACTTTCCTCACAGACTGATGAGAGAGCAATTATTTTAAGGAAGGGAAAACTCAGTCCACTGGGTTCGCCTCAAGTTACTTCTGACTCAAGCCGCAAAGACAAGAGTTTTGAAAACATATTCGCTATTGAATTTTATATCAAAACACCAGCAAGGAGAGCAATTAGTTGCTGTAAACTGAACCCCAGTAATCAATGGTATGCAGCCAGCCAGATCATTTATGGAAGATGTAAGCAAAATCACATCTGCTAATCAATTTTTTAAAAAGTCCAGCACTTCACTGCTTTTAAGGGAAACTCCACAATGAGAATAAGAGAAGGTAGAAGAGACAACATTTACTATCACCAGGCATTTCATGCAGTGCTCGTTAGATCCAGGAGTTTGTAGCACCAGCTAAACACACAGATCCAATCTGCATTAATAGATCTTGGCCAGCGGCTGGCTTTAGTCAGCCTCTTTTAAAAACAGCTTGTGATGTATGGGTAAAGGTATGTCGATATGGGGGTTGTGTCTAAGGAGCTTCCCACAGGTAAAGTCAGAGGGAGTGTGTGTGTCCTGGGCAAGCTCATATTCCCAGGCAGATTACAAGGTGGAAATATCTCTGTGTTGTTGAGGGGGAAAAAAGAAGACATAGGAACAGACTTTGTCAGCAGAGAATGAAGTGAAGGGAGTTGGTGGACCTTTCAGTTGTGCCTTGTTAGAGCAAAATTCCTCTCCATGGGAAGAAAGGGAATGAGCCATCTTTCCCTTTAGTGTCCTTAAGTTGTGCTTACTTTTTTACACTTGAATCAACAAAGGGATGTTCACTCCTGGCTGAGTCTAATTTTCAACCAAATAGGCATCCTGGCACATGAATTAGAATCTCTCTTAAAATCTCCAAAGGTGAGATAACCTGAAATCCATCAGTGTCCCTTTTCCAGTCAGGAGTCACCATGACCCCACATTTCCAGTCCCTGGGGACTCTTAATAAAGGAATAGAGAGAAGATGTCTCACCCAGTATGTTCTCTTGGCTGCTATTCAGGAAAAAGAATTTAGGCCAGGAGAAATTATGGAGGTAAAGATCGATAGACTGGGGTAATAAAAATTAATTTCTTCAGCATGCAAACTCTGATAGGCAGTGTATTAATATCCTTTAAATATAGAGGGCATCTTGTAAGTCATTAATGAAAGAATTAATGTAAGTAGAAAATGGATAAACTGTTCGATGATAATAAAAAGCTGAAAATTAATGTGTTATATTTCTTGTCAAATTGTTGGTATTTTTAAAAGTAAGACACAATATTAGTGATGATGCACAGAAATGGGCATTTATTTTATACTGCTGGTAGTGTGAGTATAAATTGATACAGACTTTTGTTTGAGGGAGAAGCATATGCAGCTATTTTGTGTAACATAGCACTACCTCAAATGTTTACATGCCCTGCTCCTTAGAGAAGGAATTTCACCCATAGAAACTTATCAAAGTCATAGCTTTAACTAAATGTTTAGCACAGAGTTTTCAAACAGTACATGTTTAACTACTTAGGTATTCAATTTACTGATTAATAAGTAAATTAAGGAATATCCGTAAGAAATTCTATGAAGCCAGTATATATGGTGAGGAAAAATGTTTGACCATACCCAAAAAATGTATTCATAATAAATAAGCAAAAGTAGCAAATTACAAACTATTTGCCGCATCTGCATAAGTCTATAAAAATACTGGAATTACAGGTGATCATTATTTTAAATAATAATTTACCTTGAGACAAATTGAAAGACTTTATAGGGTAAATGATAGGGCACAATATGCATAACTTTAGTATGCCATCACTCCAAGAACCTCTACATTTATGGTATTTACCTGTAATTGGCCTTCCTTGTTTATCTCCTCCATACCCATATCTTCAGGGCAGTCTTCTCCCATGAAATAATTTTATGATCTGGTTAGATTCTATCCCAAAAGGACTAGATGATTTTCATTTGGATACTGTGATTATCCAGAAGGATAGGGATTATGATAAACATGGATCTGCATAAATAATACAAAATCCCATTGGGGAAATAGCCCCAGCAGTGTCTCCTAAATAACATATTACCAGGACTGTTACATAAAGAAAATGATTAATTAATTGGAATTTTTATCCTGGTTTTAATTTCCTCTGGCAGAGTTATATAAGATTTCTACCCAGAATATATATGGAACATATACTATGAACAGAACCCAGATGTTTAAAATAGAATTTTTAAAAGAGAATGGTTCTAGATCTTTCTAAAAGGCCTGTGATCAGTCTGAAAGCCAGGTAAACATAGATGCAAAATTACACTTTTAAAAGTTAGTCAAAATAAATGTAAATGAACATAGGCTAACTGCATAAAAATGCTGAGAGATAGAATACTATTTGAGAAAATGACTAATGAAGGAAATGATTCACTTTCTTATCAGGCAGGCTGGCATGGTCTAGGAGTAGAATTATTGGACTCTAAAAAAACAATAGGGTGGAATCCTGTCTCATGCAGGATACTTGGAGAAATTAAATTCTCAGATGAATTAAAGGGAATCAGTAGGTTTATGCTTTCCAAAATACTTTAACAATTGTCTCTCCTTAAATGATGAAATATTAAGTAGTATGGATTTAGTAATTAATAGCAAATAGAATTAGAGTTGAAAACAAGGATCAAAGAACAAAGGGGAAGGGGAGCACAGTGGCATTTGCAGTCCTCAATACCAGCTTTACCTGTGACAGTAACCTATAAACTAACCTGAGCGTGTACAAAGAATTTTCATTGATTATGGTTGCAAACTTAAGCAGAAATTGCATGAACTACTCTGATAGAGTAATAGTTTGTGCTTGCAAATTATCAGTAAGTGCAACTTAAGGACACTAAAGGGAAAGATGGCTCATTCCCTTTTTTCCCATGACTCCCAGTCATGAACTGGGAGTAAAGGAAACGTTTGGCAGAGGAATTAGAGAAATAGGCCTTGCTTGGGTCAGGACGCCAGGTTGGAGCCCTGTGGCCCCACTCGCTGTTTAAGTTTAGACAAGTTTCTTAACAACCTTCAACTTCATTTTCACCATCTATAATTTCATGAGAATAATAATGCATGTTAAGAGGATATTTGGAAGGATTTAGTAAGATTAAATTATATAGGAACTGGTACACTATAAACATTAAGGAAGAGTTGGCCATTATGATAATAATTGTTGATGTCACAAATAATATTAATTTCTTAGCATTCATGAATGTAGACTTTGTGTGAAGTACTGTGCCAAGAACTGGGTATAGAAAAAACAATAAGATATGGGCCCTGCCTTCAGAGAGCTCACTATCTATCCTGCTTGGTGGAGGGGGCAAAGGTGCATGACCAACTATAAAGCAATGCGATAAATATCATATATGAGAAGGAATTTTGTGTCTGAAGTCGTGGGAAACAGTGTCCTCGCTGCTGTGGCACTATCAGAAGCAAAATGCTGACTGTACTGTTCCATGCTGTAACACTTAGATTATTTTTTAATTCTATTTTTTAAATTGAATTAATGTACAGTATATAAATATTTCATGTATAGCTCAATATAGCTACAACTCAGATCAAAATTTGCACATTTCCAGCATCCTAGAAGGGTCCTTCATATCCATTCCCAGAAAAGGTGAGCACTCTTCTAATTCCTGCCACCATAAGTACATTTTGTCTCTTTTAAATGGAATCATATAGTCATGCTTGGGTTCTGTCTGCGCTAAAAGGGAGAGAGGAGGACTAACAAGAATATGACCAAGTAATAAATTTCTAAATAATAACAAACATTTAGAGTGATTATGTTTGCCTCCAAAACAGATAATCTTACCAAAGCTATGTAATAAGTCTGATAAAAATGAGAAGGAACCTACAACTTCATAATGTGAAGCCTTTGGGGCATACTAGTTACCACCAATTAGAAAGCACAAATTTCCCCATGAACAGTGGTCCCAGGGACATTTTCTTTGTTCATCCCAACCAACTGGAGATGAGAGCTGGTAGAATCAGGAAGGAGGGTGTGTTGTCATTGTTTCCCTGATAAGCCAATTTGAAGAATTTTGCCATTTGGGGGACAAAGGCTGCCTGAGATTGGGTGACTTATGAAATAAATTTCTAAAGACACAAGCTTCTCACTGTGCATGGACACCACCTTCTCCCTTCATAATTTTCTTGGGGATACACTTTCTCTCACCAGTCCTGAAATTGTGGTAGGTCCAAGAAGGCAGGAAGGAAGAACCAAGAAGACAGAATTCCATGTACCTAGAGCTTAAGGAAACAGTCAGTCAGGACATTTATCATATTCTAATATTTTTCCTTTCTTCAGGTTATTGCTTTGGGACTGTGATGATCGAAGCTATAGTTACTACATTGAAGTTTCCACCAACCAGCAGCAGTGGACCATGGTGGCCGATAGAACTAAAGTCTCCTGCAAGTAAGTTACATCCTTTTAAGAATTTATTCCAATTTAAGCTATATTGCCAGTAAATTTGGAAGGTTCCAATGAAGATTCATGGAATCACCTCATTGTATTCTTATTTGGAAGTTGGAAACATTCTGACGATCCTTCCATTTTGACTGTGAAGTAATTAGATGTAGCCAGACAAGCTTTCTTTATCTTGTGGCTTGAACTTGATTTCTGAAAATGGTATATACCTAAGCAGAGAAAAGAAAAATGCTTTCCATATACAGTCCTCTCTCAGGTCCTCCCCATTTATCCCACAGTATCCCTTCAGGAGTTCTTTTCTTTCTTAGAGAATTTTGATGATGCAGTATATATTTTAGAAGTTGTTATGAGGCTCTGTCCTATTTCCCACCTTCATCTAATTCTCAGGATTACCTTTAAATATTTATCTTATCTCCATGTTACACTGGTACCTAAACTAAGGAAATCTGTGCCTTAGGTACTCCATATGCAAACAGAACTATTCTGTGTATATGGCTTAGGGGCTCTGTTTAAGCTCACCTGGTTGTGGGGAAAGCCAGGAGGAAGAACTCTGAAGGTTCTGACTGACTTTGAATCATGCCTAGAATGACTGTTCACATGTGTGTATACCAATATAACTACCACTCAGTTAAAAATTAGCACATTTCTAGCAGGCTAGAAGGTTCCTTCATACCCTTCCCCAGTCATTAGCTAAAAAGAGCTGAGTACCCTAATGTGCAGAGCCAGATTCTCTGGGCAGCAAGTTAAAGCAAATAGCTGAGATTTTTCTCTTTTTAACTGAAATATGATTCACATTCTATAAATTTCACCCTTTTAAAAATTCTACAATTCCTCAGTTTTGTTATATTCATGCAGAATTGTGCAATTATCACTACTATATAATGTTCCAGAACATTTTCACCACTCCAAAAGTAAACCTGCCCATTAGCAGTCCTCCCATTTCTCTCCAATCCCCCAGCACTCAGTAATCTACTTTCTGTCTCTGTTAATTTGCATATTTTTGACATTTCACTTAAATGAAATCATGTTCCTGGCATTTTCACTTAGTATAATGTTTTCAAGGTTCATTCATGTAATAGCATGTGTTGGCACTTCGTTCCTTTTTATGACTGAATAATAATTCCATCATATGGAGATTGTTTTGTTTCTTGTTTGTCAATTGAATATTTGAATTGTTTCTGCTTTTTGGCTATCATGACTATTGTTGCTGTGAACATTCCTATACATATTTTTGTATAAACTTATTTTTTCAATTCTCTTGGGTATATTCTAGGAATAGAATTACTGGGTCCTATGGTAACTCCATGCTTAAGTTTTTGAGGAACTAACAGTCTTTTCCACAGCAGCCTCACCATTTTGCACACCCACCAATAACATGAGGGGTTCAAATTTTCCACATTCTTGTTCTTGCTTATCTTTTTGTTTGTAGCCTTCCTAAATAGGAGTGAAATAGCTCCTGATTGTCGTTTTGATTTACATTTACCTGATGACTAGTGATGTTTAGCATTTTCCCATGAAGTTATTTGGGCCACAGTATGTTAATAGCATTAATTATGGCTTGTTTGAGGCAATGCCTAAACCCCTCACTATTGTAATTATCTCATAGCAGGTTTATATTGGTAGCAACTGCTATTGTAAGAAATAATGGCTTTGATATTTCACTGGTTTAACACAGTAGTTTATCTCTCAGTCATGTAAGATGTCCCTAGTTGTCAAATGGCTCTTCTTCACAGGTGTTTGAGGAATCCGGGTGTCTTTTTCTTGTAGTTCTGCCATCATCCAATGCCTTGGCAACATCAGTGGTATTTAGCTGGAAAAAGGGGAAAGGATTGAGGGAAGGTAGAGCAGATTCTGAACAGCCTTGGACTGAGTATATGAACATCCCTTCCAGTCACATTTCACTGGGGAAAACTAGTTGCATTGCTGCACCAGATGCTGGTAGGGCTGGGAAACTCTACTGTAGTCAGTTACTAGCTGGGAAGCTACTTCAGTGGAGCAAAATCTTATAGCTATTGTAGCCATCGCTGCCATAGATTGGGAAGACTAGAAATTATTTAGTAACTGGATTCCACTGCTTTTTTTTTTTTTTATCTTGAATATAAAACACCTTGTGGGATATTGGCCCTCATTTTAAAAAAGCACAAATGAAGGGTTCTTACCACTGTACTGCATCACCTCCTAGTACCCAAAGCATTACTAACAAGGGGCAAAAACAACCTAGTGATGAAAATGGGAAATGAAGTGGTTAACTTATTTCCAAGTTTTTTATACAATAGTAAGGCCTTCAGGGCCCATGAACAACTGCCTCTTTGTCTCTCCAGAGTCATTGCCTTTCGAACATACAGCTCACAGGCTGGACCCTGTGCTTCCTCTAAGCTTATCATGTCTTACACATCTTACTGTTACCATCACTCATCTCTTCTGTCAGTTTATGTATTATAAATTGGATTCTCATCTTTCTTTATGTTTCCCCTCTTTGAAGGTGTTATACAGTGTGAGTTTTTAACAGTGTGAGTTGTCAACAACTGATTGACTAATTACTGACATGGTATATACCATGATTTTATGTTTACTTAAATGTTTTTTTTTCCTGATTCAAATCTCCATTCACTCACTAGACCCTCTACCAGTAGCTTTCTGTTGAGTCATCAACATCTTTTTTCCTCTTTATTTTTCATTTACTTGGTGGATTTAAATAATATGTTTTTGACTTTGTGTATTACCACTTAGATTCTAATCAGTAATAAAGAAAGAAAGAAAGAATAAGAGATGTAGCAAGAATGCAAGTGCCTATTAGCCTTCTGAGAACCAAAGGTGATGCTTTTATGTGTGTGTAAGTGTAATTTAAATCTATTGTGCCTCCCATTTTTGAGTTAGGTATTTTGAAGTATAATAAAAGATAGACAGGTAATAAGTGAAGAAAGCCTTTATTTTCTTTTTTAACTAATAAACTCCAGATCAGTCCTCAAGAAAAGATTCTGTTAGCTGCAAGGATTACAGACTATTTTTATTGAAATAAAGTATGAGTCATGTTATAAATGAAATTCTATAGGATCTTCAAAGTTCATAGGCCTGCCTCTCGATAGCATTCTACCTAGTCAGGAAATCAGAGGACAGATTTTTGCTGTCCTCTGAAAAATACCTAGAGAATGAGATTCTCCAGTATCTTCCTGTTAATTCCCTTTGTTCCTGGGGTGGGATATCTTCCTTTATTGCTTTCCTAAGTGCTTTCTGCTCTACTAGGAACTTCTCTTTTTTTTTTTTTTTTTTTTTTTTAAAGATGTGTTTGGAATTTTATTTTTTTTTTTTTTTTTATAAATTTTATTGTTATATTCCCCATACAATTGCCGCCCCCCATTCTGACCCCAATCCCTCCCCTCCCGCCCCCGCCCCCCTAAAAGTGTCTCTGGTTCATAGTTTTTTGTTGATTTTGATTTTCACTTTCTTATAGTTTTTCATTTTCCTGGTCCATTATTTAAGTTTTCTAGATTCCTGCTATGAGTGAGACCATCCGGTATTTTTCTTTTTCTTTCTGGCTTATTTCGCTGAGCATGATCCCTTCCAGCGCCATCCATGTTGCAGCAAATTGCATGTGTTTATCTTTTTTGAATGCTGAGTAATATTCCATGGTATATATGTACCACATCTTCTTGATCCAGTCATCTATTTTTGGCATTTGGGTTGTTTCCAAAGCTTAGCTATTGTAAACAGTGCTGCTATAAACATAGGGGTGCAGGTGTTCTTTGGAATGGATGTTTCTGTGTCCTTTGGGTAAATACCTAGGAGTGGAATTGCTGGGTCATATGGAAGCTCTATGTTTAGTACTAGGAACTTCTCTTGTCTTGCTTTTAGGATGAAGCCTCATTTTCTATCACAAGGTAACCCTTTTTTGTAATGACTGATACCCCTCCCCATCTTTACTAAGATACAGCGATCTTACAACATTGTGTAAGTTGAGGGTGTGTGACATATATGTATATATTGTGAAAAGATTACCATAATAAGTTAACATATCTATTATCTCAGAATATTTTTTTGTGATAAGAACTTTCAAGAGCTATTTGTTTAATAACTTTCAAATATACAGTGCAGTATTGCTAACTATAGTCATATATTATACATATATACCCAGGACTTAATAACTAGAAGTTTATATCTTGCAGAAGCTACCTTCACTCATTTCCCCCACCCACCACTCCTGCTAACCACCAGTCTGTTCTATGAGTTTCTTTAAATTACTTGTATGTAGATACAAGTAAATTCATATAGTATTTATCTTTCTCTGTCTAACTTACTTCACTTAGCCTAAGGTCCTCAAGGTTTATCCATGTTGTCAAAATGAATGGACTGATTTTATTAAACTACTTTTGATCCCTCTTTTTTCACATACTCTAATCCTGTACCCTATAGCCTATTTCAGAATATTTCACTATCTACTCATTTCTTTACTGTTCTCTGCCTTGGCAAATCCTTGGTCTGTGTCAATACAGTAAGGTACTTAACATCATATTATTTATCATATAAATAACATTTATTATTTAAAAACTGGAACATGCACAGGAAAAATTTAACAATTTACAAGTGGAAAATAAAATTTTCCCTTCCCACATTCTGTTCCATTCCTCAAAAGTAACCATTTTTGACAGTATTTTTTTTGTTATCACAATTTTGCCAGTGTAATTATAGCTCTATTAACTTATCAGCTTTCCTTACTATAAAAAAATGAGGAATTTAGCTCACTTAACTGCTCCTCATTTTTTGTTATGTTTTTCTTTTCAGGTCTGTTATTACTTACCTTTTAAAATTAAACAATATACTTAAACCTCTACTTTTCATTCCACAATTATGGACAGTATTTCTTGACTCCTTATTATGTTAATGAAGAAATTACTACCCATACACTTCCCTCAGTCTCTCCTCTCTCTACTTCCCATCTTCTTTTAGCTGTCCCACCACATCCACATTGTAGATTTTAATATTTATTTCCT